GAATTGGGTAGTTGATCACTGTTCATACCGTGCATTTCTGATTGGTGGCACTTAATTATTTTGCCAGCGGCTTGGTGGACTGAAATGACACGGGGAATGAACAACCTTTCCTTTCCTAGGATGTGGAACAGTGGTGGGTTTATGCAGGAAAACTATACTTACGTTGTCCTTGGTATATTTGTTACCTGCCTACAGGTCTTGGAATGAAGCTAATCTGAAACTGTATATGGGTATTCAAATTTTAAGGATGTGAACTATCTGAAAAACTTACTTAGTAATAAAGATCATCTTTGTCTAATTAATAGTTAAATCTATCAAGAACGTGATCATCGGTAATGGATGGAGCAGTGCTGTGTTCTGGGTAAAAATCAAAAGCACAAAGAGCCAATCTTCTTTCTTCACATTCCTCTGTTCCTATCTTGTTGCAGTAAATGAAAACTTGAGTAATAAAAACTTCACTATCCAGCATCTGAGAATATACACTCTTGTACCTTCTCAGGCTCCTGGCTATGGCGATGTAAGGCTTTCTCTGGAGACAATACCAGACACCGTAAATTTGGAAGAGCCTTTTGACATTACATGTAAAGTAACAAATTGCAGGTAATGATGTCGTGTGATTCTTGCGCTTTTTCCTAAGTGGGTAAGTTGTCACTGTCTTTGTTTCATCTTTCCGTATTTTCTCCTGCAACAACTCAAATCTGGACCTTCCTATGAGTTACAGCAACATGAAACTACTTGAAAGACATCTTTTGGATTACAACAATTTTCAAAAACCCAAAGAAACAAACAAAGTAACACCCCTCCCATTATGATCCGTTAATACTATTTGAACTGGGAGATTGCCAAAAATTTCTAGTAGAGTAACATGGAACTGGCTGCAGTATTATTTAAGATTGTACCTCATACTTAAATCACAAATCATTTTTGTTCTTATTAGGTAACCTAACAATGAGTATTTACATAGGATTTTTTTAATTACAATTAATTTTATCAGAATAAATAATGCCGTTTCTATCCAGTCTAATTTTATGGCTACTTTTGCATCACTGCCTGAATGCTTGTTGGACATTGTCACTGTAGTCTTTTGTATGTCTCTGTTCATAATTTGACTTGATCCGCGTTTGTGCTAGGCTCCACAGTAGCCCTTTATAGAAGGGATACAAGAGTGACATATACATAAAATAATTCTAAATAGAAGTTGAAGCCAGGGACTAAATCATGTTCTGTTCTGCAGATACTTCTCATGAAAACCTTGTCCTCCATCCAAAGTGTGAGCAGTATTACACTATCCAGTATTACTAAATCTGTAACTGAACACTTGTGTCAGATAAAGCTACATGCAACTGCACTACTGCACATCAGACTAAATCTTGCTTGATGCCTTATGATTATTTATAAGTTCTTGATTAACAGTAACCTGAATAATAATCAACTTTTACTTGAGTGTTTAGAAAAAGGCCCACAGGTTTATTTTGTTTTATTTATGATTTCCTCTAGCAGTGAAAGGACTATGGATCTGGTTTTAGAAATGTGCAATACAAATTCCATCCACTGGTGCGGAGTTTCAGGAAGGCAACTTGGAAAGCTGCACCCAAGCTCATCCCTCCATCTTGCACTTACACTGTTGTCTTCAGTGCAGGGATTGCAAGTAAGTCTTTATAGCATAGTTTTGTTATAAAATAGCTGTTTTATAAGCTTCTAATTCTTTCTACTAACAACTCTTTTAAATATTTTCCTTTTCTAGAGTGTCTCGGGCTTAAGACTTACAGACACGTTTTTGAAAAGAACATACGAGTACGATGATATTGCACAAGTCTGTGTAGTTTCTTCAGAAGTCAAACAACGCTGAAGAAAACATTCTGTACAGCTGAAGGGCTTTCTTTTTTTCTTGATGTGTTAGCAGCTGAATCAAATTAAAATGTGTAAAAGCAAAACCAAATCCCTATATATCTCTAAATTTAACTATTGCTTATTTCATTTCTCTGAGCATTTTCTGAACATTCTTACATCTTTCAAAACATGCATATGCATTCTGCCTTCAGAAAATAAAGCCTTTGAATCAATTGTAGCTCTAACAGGTTACATTGCATTAACATCACTTGGGTCAGGGGGTGGGATTTATATGAAACAGTATCACTTTGTACTTATTTTTGTTGTTTTAATTATTTTTAAACTATTTAAACAGGTTTTAAATTATGATTCTGACAAAACTGCTTCAGTTTTAAGGAACTGGCCTTTTACACAGAAATTCCTGGAATCCAAACCCCTAAAAAGAAACAGTTTCATGTACTTGGTAGAGCAGTGTATTTGCATGGTACATGCATAACCATAACAACTAGAGACTGATACAGGCATGAGATGAGGGAGTGCAGCTGGCACTGCTGAAGCACTAGCAGCTAGAGAGTATCAGCCAAAGGATGTGCTGGTTGTGGCTTGGTCTTTGGAAAGGAGCAGCAATACAGCAAACCTTGTGCAGAATTGTGTATCCCTGTCATACAGGGCATGGCATGAACAAGCATACTGCTTCACAGTTAGTAGAGAACTGAAACCAAGCAGAACTTGGGGCATTTTATATTGTTAAACTGGTACAAATTAGTCTGCCCACCCCACAGGCATTTAAGTGGATTTTTAAGAAAATTAGGAAAAAAAACCCTGCATGGCTGCCCTAGATCAATTCTCCAAGCCATATGTAGGAAGGAACTCAGGACCTGGTTAAGCACTGAACTGTATTTTTCCTTGGATTTGTTTTGACAAAAGATAGAAGAATTTTTGGCTGAAATATATAAGATCACCTAAAGGTAGCCATTTACAGAAAATGGTGACTGGTTTTACTAGTTAACTAGTGTTACAAGATTCTACCCAGTGGCTTGTCACGTTTCTTGGCAACCATATTGGCACATAGCAACCTCACTTTTGACTTATTTCACTTAATTTTATACACAGGAAAGCCTTAAGTATAGAATTCAATTTTAAAACATTAGATAAATTTAGGATCAGCTTACTAAATCGAGAGAATGAGTCAATACTGTAAAGAAAATAAAGTAAAACTAGACTCTGCACATCCAAAATACCTGTTTATGTTTGCTGCTCCACAGTTTATTAAAGAATACAATTTACCTGTTATTCTAAGTACATCAACAAATTAGAACAGTAAAACCACAACTATCCAGACAAAAAAAAGTAAGTAACTTTATTTATAATCTATTTTCAAGTTAAACTGACACAAGTTGAAGGACATGTAACCATAAGGTAACAAGAGGTAGGAGGAGAGATACAGAAATGGTAGCAAAAGGCTATTGGTCTAGTATGACTTTCTGTAGCTCTGAAACAATGTGTGAGTCCAAAGCTGCAGACTTGCTACAAAATCAAACGTGCAACTGAAACAGTTTCTAAGCTGAAATTTTCAGTAAGCGTCTTTATGATCAGGCATAGTTTAAAGAATATACCTCCATGCAAGCAGGTTACAGGAGTTTACAATTCGAGTGCAAGACATTTTCTTCTCTAACAATTATCACACATATATGCTGATGGGACAGTAATGATATAAAACCAATTCAATGTTAAATGCATATTTGCTTAGTTGAATGATAAACTGCAGTTGACCTTAAAGCAGTATTTCTAGGGAGTGCGGTTTACCACCCAATCTAGCAGGATGAAAAATTTTAGTGCAAAATAAAGTGCAGTTATTACACAGGAAAAGATTCCTTCCTCACCCTGTGATTAAGACATATTGCATGACTGTGAAACAATCTAGCCTATTCAAGGAAAAATAGACTTTAGTATAAATGATCCCCTTGTTTCTGGTTTCAGTGGAAAATCATGTAATGGCAGCTCCTGTTATTGGTTTCACTGCTTTTCATTTAGGCTATAAAGCCCTTTCTGCTAATATACAAGAAACAGAATGTTTGCAAGTTAAGTAGTGTGCCAGTTGTAGCACATTCCTAAAGGGTTAGCTAATGCCATCAATATTTTAATAAATACTCTGGTTACATATTGTCTGTACTGGAATTAAACCTAAACATGACAATATTGCAGTATGTGAAAAGTTACCACTATAAAGATGATTTCAAGACTAGTTTTCAGGTAACTGACAGATGCTTCATCCCATTTAACCCTGGGGGTAGTTCTCCCATAAATCCAGTAAGCTGTATTTTACTTGACAGTACAACTTCTGCAGCCAGCCTTTGAGTACTATTGTATTTATTTTGCTGGTCTCTAAGAACTCTCAAAACACTTTTTTCTGTCTTAAAGTAGAAAGGTAACTGACAGCATGAAGACTGCTGTCACAAAGTAAGTATAAATTGAGCAGGAGAAAGACTGCAGTGCTGTCCAGCCCACTCTGGATTTATTGGTTCTCCTTACCAAAGCTAGCAAAACTCACTTTGAGCAGCTGAAACATGAAAGAGAGGCAGTAAGACGAACAGTGAAGTTTACCAGGAGACATGCTAGGAGCAGTGCTTCTCTCCTGACACAACATGCCACTCCAAGCAATGTTTGTACAGTAGTTGTAGACCACTTACAGCTTCCATGGCTCGCTCTTGTAAATGGTATCCTGTCCTATTAACGTAACAGAACTTAGGTAGCAGTTTTCTTGAATGGATTAGATTCAGGATCTGAACAACCTCTGAAAAAAAGATGCTAGTTAGAGATTGTCATCAGATGTTAATTCAGAAACTGTTACTTGGAAATGTATTTTTAATACAAAGCTTAAGTATCTCTACAGCCTCAAAAAGGCAAGTATGGAAACTTAGAGAATTTAAAGAAGCAGCATTTTAATGCTGTGTGTAGGCAAGTTCTATTGAATTAAGTATGCAATGTGTTAAAAGTTGTTTTAATTGTATTGAGCTTTACCTCTTAATTCAACAGATGGCAATGCAGATTTCCTGTTTTTTTTTGTTTTCTGCAATTCTTTTAATTTCTCCTTGGATCCAGCTGCATTTCCACCCCTCTCACTGTTTTAATAGGGGAAGACTCATAAAATAGATGCACATGCATCAAGCATGACTCCAAATTTTGCATTTATTCCTACTTGAGGTGCTCTTTTTTGACCGCAAGATGAATCTGATATGAAGTCAGGTCCAGAAGTTCCTGTGTCTTTCTCTATTTGAGAGTCTAATGTTAATCCTCCACACACCTTCTCCAGTCTGTCTGGCCAGCAGATATCACTGTCTTAGAAATCAAAGCAGGCTCCTCAAATTAGTTTTGATATTGAAAGAGGAAAATGTGAGCATTGAGAACCTCCCTGGAGTAAAACCAAACCCACACTGTACCAGAAAGCTGTGTAAACAGTAAGCAGCATAAAAGAGTTAATGTAATAAAAATACAGAAAAGCAGTTGTCTCCGAAAGAGTAAGGTTAACTGAGCAAGAAAAGCCAGAGTAGGAACAGAAATGCTATAGAGTCGAAAAACCTCTACCGTGGCCATATAACCATCACTTTAACATAGATATATGTAATGAAACTTAAAAAAATAAATAAATTAAAAAAATATTATTAATTGTTTAGGCCAGCAACTTACCACACAAGAATAGAGAGAATCCTTTCTAAGGCAAATTATTTTTTATACATTTTCAGTATTAGTTATTTGTACAGTCACAGGATCTGTTTTAGCTTATTACAGTTATGAATTTTAAGCTGATGTTAAATACTGCATACATATAGAATGTAATACAGTTTGCCATGCGTAAGAAAATAGTGCCATAATGCTGACCTCCAGGGCTACCATCATGATCTGAAGGTATACATGGCAGTGGAAAAGCCTGGAACTTCTTCATACTATTTCCTTTCCCAAACCAAGTTCCATCTCGGTTTCTATGTATTATCTTGCTCAGAACTAGTGTCTTCTAAACAATCTGTGGTACTTGTTTGTATGCAACCATCTTCTGCCCTCCCACCCAGTGAAGCTGAAAAATATTTCATGTTACTAGTGACAGCCCCTCCACAGGCTTAAAGAAAGAGACTTGTCAAGCATTAGTTTTAAGTGTACTCTATACTCCAACACTGATTTATGCTCATTATAAAAGGGCATATCAGATGGGCCTACTATTTCCATATTTAACAGGAGTACAGCCATAACGATTTTTACATAAGAATAACATGCCTTTTACAGTAGGATTTTAGAATTAAGCTGTTACACAAGATCAGCCCATTACAAAACTCCTCACTCAATAGCCCTGGAGATCAATCTAATGCACATACTGAAAATTACTTGTACTTAGGGATTTTAATAAACCACCTATTAGTGTATTAATTTGCAGGAGTTAACTATACATAAATGATATGTTCCAAGTTATGTGCAACAGATCTGTTTAACAGATTATTCTTGTTTGCAAACACGCACAAAGAATTTTCTGTCTTCTATTCAAGCAGAAGAGTTACAATGGTGCTTTTTCTACTAACTATGGTACGCATTTTGGGGCTATATACCATTCCAATTCACATGCCTCCTTTAAGTCAGGAATGCTCTTCAGTGCTGCCACTGAAAGATCTGCTCCGGACGTGATTTCTCAGTTGCTCTATGAGCTCTGGATTCTGCTGCTGTATCTGTTGTGCAAACTGCTGCCCCCTGTGTTGAACAGTTTTAAGTAAAATCAAATGAAAAAAATGACAAGCAGCATTTTTAAGAAAACTGGACATCCCAATATAACTGAAAGGTATATTATATGACAGTTAAGACTGAAGGTAACTTGCTGTATAGTCTTAATCAAGATATTATGACTTTGTATCTAGTAAAAGTCTCTGCAAACAGGATTATCATCAGATCTTCATTCTTTCAGACTATTGCTGCTACTTGATGTAATGGAGGACAAAGTGAAAACTAGAATTTAGCAATCAATGTGCTCCAGTGATTTGCTCCCTTCTTTTTGCGAGGTTGTTTAAGACAACTGCTCTTGCAGGTGAAGCACAGCCTTGTATTAGTGTTTCAAAAAATGCACTGTGTGGCTGCCAATGAGTTACTTGTGAGCAGGACTCCGTTAGTTGAAAGCAAGCATACAGTTACACCTTTAATGTCCTGTGTGACTGAAGTAATGACAGATGCATCTCTGTAACAGCCCTAGCTTAAGAGCTAAATTAATAGGTGACATTAATTTTATGTAAAATATAAGCATAACACAAGTTTACTAGAAAAGGCAAGTAAAATATACTACTTCATGACGAGCTTGTCATGGCTTCTCTCTAACTTTTGCATTTTTGTCCTGAAGTGGCAAAACTTAAAAATACTTTGAAATAGGCTAGAATAAAGTAAAACTGTATGCAGTTTACGAGGTCCTTCCTATAAGCAAATGGAATTTTTGTACAGACTCTTCCAGATGGATTATTGTTACAATATAAAAGCCTTGGGCCCTGTTTTTTGTAAAAGCTACTCATACTGAGTTTTCTGGAGCCTTTATAGTCTAAACACAAGGATGCAAGTGCAGCACTTATTGCAACCTATACAAAGTAAATCTGTAGCTTTTCAAACTAGTGTTTGGGTCATCAGGTAGTAGATTTATCAACCCAATTTAAAAGCACATGTAGAAGTACTTCAAGATTTAAGGAAGCACTTTTAGTAAGTGGCATCTAGAAACTAAACAGTGTAGGAGAACCAGAAAGTGAAACTGAGCACACAGTTCAGTCATTCCAACTAATGGAAACATACAAAGCAACCAAAAAGATAGTGGAAATGAGATCTTTTAAGTTCTCAGTTTTAATAATGATCAGACATACAATGGTGACAGGCCACAGTATAATTGGCTTGACACTGCCCCTTTTAAACAGATGTTACACAATAATGCTTCTACAAATGTAACAGCTAAAAACTATGCAGTTCTTACTTACGCATGGATCAGGCTGGACAAATCTGACAGGCCACCAACACCTGCAGCAGGGCCACCAATGGCGTTGGACATCATTCCTGACATCCTGGAACAGTTAGCACAGTGTTGGCATTAGAGTATGCAGGGACCTTTACAGTAAATGATAAATCACAGTTCTTGTTTTAATTGCTCGGAGGAAATAAGCTGCAAGAGGAGGAAACTGCAGTAGTTTATTTACGGTAAGCAAAAATAAAATCAATTTTTATCCACCTTTTCTCTTATTAATTCAACCCCCTAAATACCTCTGTTTTAATGGTACCCCATTTTAGTACTTACAGTTGTTGAACTTGAGGATTCTGCATTAAGCTTGCTGCCTAGAACAGACAACACATAGCTGAAATTATGACACATTTACTACTTAGGTATCACTGAGGAAAATAAGGGAATAAAAAAACCAACCAGGAAACATGCTGTATTCTGTCTTCTGTTACACAATTCAGCTAAGTTTATATACACAGAGATGTACAGTCCCCAGCAAAAAAATCATTACAGGAATGTATTTCAAGGACAGGAAACTGATACAATTTGTTAAATTATATAAAAAACCAGTTGTTACAGATTCAGACATAAAAATACAGCAAGATGACATTAAAAATATAAAAAGCCGTACCAGAAAATGGAAAAAAAAAAAAAAAAAAGAATTTCAAGGCCAAAAGTTTGCTGTTGTTTTTTGGCAAAAGGTCTGTATTGTATTTCAGTGTTTTCTTAATTCTCAGCCTGGATAAATCAGTTTTGCAATGACTGTTACTACTGGGTATAAATTATTAAGATTACAGGCACAAAATACTGCAGAATAAACCAGAGTGTGAAGTTTTTTCATAGATGGTTTTGTGGTAACATATCTTCTAAGGTAATTGTAGTAAGCATGAGGTTATTTAAATTTCTCATTCGTAAGATACCTCAAAAAATAATATAGTTTACCACAGTGTAAGGGTGTATATGGATAGATACTATGGAATAAACCAGGTGATGTTTCAAAGTTAATAACCTAGTTCATCCAGAAATCAGTGTTTGTATGAATACAAGGCCTACAGGCACAATGCAGTGTCTGCTTATTCACTCTTATTAAACATATTACAAACCCCAAATATATGCAATATTTATTTTATCGATCAGGATCTCTATACATGTAATCTGTATAAAAATTAAATCAACTGTTATTCTTAAGTTTAGAGTTGGATAATAAAATGCCAAATACTGGTCAATTCTATGGGTAATATATGATTTTTTTTTTCCTTTCTTCCATCAGGAACAGCCTGATCTAGGTTAGGGGACCCAAGAATGTAAGGCAGAAGTAACTTTGTCACAGTCAGACAGTGAGGTGGTTTTTTTTCCCTTAAAACTGAAAAACTACATCACACAAAAATCATTCATTCATTCCTTGGAGAATGCCCTGTGTTCTCTTCACTTGACCAGGCATCTTCTGGAAATGATGTAAAAAAATCTTTCCCCCATATTTTCCCCAAGTTTCTCCATATTAAAGAGTCCATCTTTGACTATAAACAGATGCAGACTGTCTTAGTAGCTCAAGTAGTTTTTGAAGTCGTACACAGAATTCCAGTTCTATTTAACCACTAATGTCATTGGAGAACTCACTCACTTCTTCCTTGCCTACCATCAATATTAGTTGGACCATTGTATCGGGCTAGATTTATCTCCTTGCATGCAGTGCACTTCCATACAGAAGCACTGGTTGACATGTCCTGTCCTAACAGAACTACCAGAAGGGCAGTAACTACTTGGGGACAAAACCGCAATTTGCCAATGTACTACGTACACTGTAGTGGAAGTAAAGGAATGCACTACAGGTTGTTTGTATTTCTTGTCTGCACATCATATGAAGTTTTGCTCACTTAATTTTCAGAGATAAACTGAAAGAATTTATGCCAGAAAGAAAGGTCTCTTGGGTAGTTCTCCCCAGGCAAAATTACTTCAGTCTTGAATCTGAATCAACTGCTAGTTCATTTAAGAGGGGATCTCTCTGTACTTGTTACCTCCTATATGGAGGATAGCAAAGAAATTTTCACCATGCTGTTGACAAGTGTTTTACTACCATGCCATCTATAAAAACAGCATAGCTTATCTATGCACACTGTTGTTCATAAGCATGATAGAATCAATTGGAAATAAGACAGGTGTTATAGGAGATTTATGCTTCACTTCTTGTTTTGAGCATAGAATTACATAGAAAGTTTAAATGCAGTATAATGAAACCACTGCATTATAATAAGCATTAGAATTGGTTGTGTTATTAGAAAGAGTTGTTCTTAAAACTTCAGTTTTAAAAACAATATAAAGTTTGGAATATACTTACCATACTAATGAATGCAGGATTATTTATCAAGCTTGCCATGTCAAAACTCAGTCCAGTTCCAGTCTAAAAAATAAATTGCAACTGAAGGTAAGTTTACCTACAAAATCCCCCTTAAATTATTGTAAATAAGTAGAGAGCTAACTTACAGGACTGGACATGTCTCTTAGTTTCTGCTCTGCTATTTTCAAATTTGATTTGTAAGAGTCATTCTCTGGATCAAGATCCAGTGCTTTTTGATAACTGGTAACTGCTTCTTCATATTTATTCACTGAGGTCAGAGCCAACCTAATGTGAAATAAAAGAAATCCTGGGTAGAACATAAATGACCATCAAAAGATAATGATACATTTTCTGTTCTATGTCAAACAGTATCTCACAACTAATTTTTAGCTTGAGCTCTAAGTAAAGCAAGTTTTGCTATTGTCCTACTACTGCTCAGTGTAACAAGCACTTGTTTTTGCAGTAGGGATAATCCCTTAGGAACTTGTATTGTCTGTTCCATATATGTTCAAGTTTAAAAACTCCTTGGCATCATCAAGTGATTCAGTGATAAATGAGTAAGTAAGGCAAAGATATTCTTAATATGAGTCTTGCAGCTTCAAGTAACCAAACAACAGAACGACAAGTTTCAGCATAATAGATTTTTGCCTTGGGATGAGTTCAGGGTTCTCCTTTCAGATCTTCTACTTCAACAGCTTGAAAAGGGGCTACGCAGAATAGTAATAACATTTGTAAGATGCTGTAAGAAACCCTTTTGTTGGAGAAGTCTGCTTAATGTTTTGAAAAAGAGTCATCTCTGGCAGCTCAGGAGAGCACAGGACAGAGCTACCACTTTTGAAACAGTGTTTTCAAATTTGATTAGGTACTACATTTAAAACATAATCTTTCTTTGAGCTGTTCCAGAAGTCCATCTCTGGTTGCAGTTTCTACTATGACTTTTGTATTTTCAGTTTATACTTACGACAAAACTAAACTGATCTTTTCCACATTTTGTGGAAGATCTGTGTAACCCACCTTCAGCTATTCAGTACTCCAATCCCTCTTTGATATGTGCTGAGCTGCACAGACTGTGTTGATTGATAAACCTGTGCTAATGCCTACTAATGGACCTTTGTTTTTTATCTCAGGCCAGAGAGCTTGTTGTGTTAGATACAGTCATAGCCATCACACTCAGTGATGATGAACTCGCTAACAGCATGAATCTCCAGAAGCTTCCAGTAATGCTCGTGGATGAACTCATGCAATATTAATGTTTTCTCTCTTAACACAGATACTCCCTTAACACAGTTACTCCCATAAAAAGCATTCTCCTTTTTGGCCCATTTACTTGCCGAAAGTATCTGACCAGACAAGAAATGCAATCCGGTATTTCTGTGATGCAACTGTCGGGTTTTTTTACAGGGAAAGTATGCAAAATTCCGCTTCTTGGAACACAGTTGAAGCCAGAACCAGCAGGCAACAGTTTCTTTGCTCACAATTCCTACCCAGACATGTGCTCCTTTAGGGTCATGCTGGCAATACCACTTTAACTGCTTACGTGGCTCCTGTGTCTGCATATTTCTGTGGCAGTCCTGCATCTTTCTGTGACACAGAGTTGCTGCCAAATTCTGAGAAAAACTAACATGTTTGCATAATGCAGTCAGAAAACACAGCTTTCTCATAAGGGGTTTCTGTTGAGGTGGTTTCTGCACTTGTTTCTTTCAGTTACTACTAAATGAGCATTGATTCCTTATTAAGCTTATGCCAGATGTATTATTTTATCCATCTACTGGCAGATACAAGGAATGGCTTGTAGCTCAAAATATACCCTCTATCAAAACAACCAGACAATAAAAGAAAAAAGAACAAAAAAAAAAACTTGCTTGATTGCCTAAGAATGATCCCACTTAACATTGTTTATCAAAAGGCACAAGGGTCTCATACCCCTAACTCTAAAATATCCTCCAGTTCCCAATTAAATCAACTGTAGCTTCCCTCCATCTCACTGAAACTGGGGGATCTCAGGCTGTCCTAAAGAGTTAAATAGGACAAAACCAATTCAACAGTTCCCAAAATTTCAAAATGAATTAATCATTTCAAAAGCCAGACAGGCTACCTTTGTATCAGTAAAATAAACTGTAGTGTGGAAAGGTTTCAAGTGACAGAACTCCATCATCTTTGACCTTAAATAAATGTCCCCTGGCATGGTTTGTCCCAGGCCAATAAGCATTATCCCAGACAATCTGGGGGCATGGTTCAGAATTTAACACAGGCCAACGCAATTTAGCAATAGGCAGTTTGGATGAGGCCACTCCATACTGCAACCTAGACTTAAATAACATGGACACAGGCCATTTTGTGCCAGCTGACCCAATGAACAATCTCAAGCATTTTTTAATTTATAAGCATAGATATAACCTCAAAATCATTCTGCCTATACCCACAGCATGTCTGATTATTGAAAATGCAAAGCTACACATCTTGAAAGAATGGCCCTTCACCCAAATAGATATACCATTCAGAAGACTCCTGAATTTTTTTCAGGTAGCACTTAATCACACCCGCCACCTAAAGAGGCTATACTGTTAACCTCTCAGACATGACTGAGAAAAACTACCAGAGGGACATAGCTTAGCCTTGCTAAAATACTGGCTTTCAAAGAGCTACCGAACAGAAAAATTAAGCCTCTATTCAGCCAGTTTCAGGATTCTGTTCTCTCAACAGCATCATTAATAGATTCACAATTCCAACTGCAGAATTTTGATTACTCATAACTAGGTAGGAGGTGCAAACATACATTATGACTTTGTAAACTGAATTCGCAAAGCTGATAAATTGAAAGAAAAAAGAATTGCAAACTGATAAAATCTGGTATGAAAATGCTGAGACCAACCACATACATAAACCTTAAAGCTGGCAGCTTGATATGGTTATCTTCAGAAAATGGCTGCAATTTCAGAACAAGTATGTCAGCTAAGCAAAACAACCCAGCTCCACTATTTCAGAACATGATTTACACATGGGTCTTCAGTGTTTTCTTAGAGTTGTATTAGCTTACCCCATTCTGCCATATGCTTTGCTGTACTTCGGATCTATTGCTATGGCACTCTCACAATCTTTTATTGCTTCATTGTAGTTGTTGAGCTTACTTTGAGCAGCAGCCCTAAGAGAAAGATGAAAGGAGACAGCTTTGTCAAAAAAGCAATAAAGTTAAAAAAACCCAAGCTTGGATATTGACATGTCTAGGACCAACTTTCAACTTCTTTAATCTTACCAACTTTTCAGTCACTGTTTAGGTAATGCCTCAGCTTTCCTCAACTAAGGGGGGACAAGCAAATGTTCCAAATTAAGTATGTGCTTAAGCTCATTACCAGACTAGGGCTTTAGACTCACTCAACTCTGAGAACACAAAGGGTAAATAGTTCTAAGGAGCTGGTTTAGATCCAGCATATGACTGTGCACATAATCATCATAAAACCTATTAGAAGAAGTGAAACTCTCAAGTAGTATTTGACATAAAATTATTGCTCAAGCAGAAGTATTTTACACAATTGGAGTTTTCCAGCAAAAAACTGTCATTCTGAAGAATGTTATGATTTTCCCCTGCTCAATTATTTAGCAAAAAAAAACCAAAACAGGACAGTGGAACAGGTTAGTAAGCAAAACTTCCCCAGTTTGAAAGGTCTCAAAACATTATTTGTTCTTTCTCGAGTATAAATGACAGTTATTTCCATTTCATAAAGCATTTGTCTTGTTTATTAGGAATGCCAGATGCTACAATCATCACTATACTCAATCCTTTCTCCTGTGATAACCTCCAAATCTCATTTTTTACTTTGATTAAAATCTCGTCTGAATGAGACTACTTTTATATTTTAAATATCTAGGCGACTTAACAGTTGTCCAACTCCACAGATGCCAGTGGATAAAAGCTGGGGACAATGCTTAGCTTCTCATGTTTGAAGAGAAAATGTTTTTTTTTCATGTTTACAAAATTGTATACATCTAGTTTAAACTTGAAGGACATCTCAGCTCTTTTTCTTACTGCTGTGCATAAAAAGCAATACTACTGAAGGCATTGTGTCTCCATTGCTCCCAAACTAGCTTAAGAAAGGTAAGAAAAAGGCCTATATTTATTCAAAGAACTGTTCACCCACAAAACTCCAAGCAATTGTCTGTCTTCTTTTAAGTAACTTCATATATTACTGTAGTTACTGACATCAAGATTTATTTTTGTCCTCACAGATATGCTATGTGATGATGTAACACACAGTGAAGTATTTTTTCTCTTGCCAATTACAGATTTGGTGCTTAAGCCCATTTTGAGAAAACTTACAGTGATTTTGGAAGGCTTTTGAATCTGGTCTTCTATTTCCATTTTATACCTAAAATCACGTATATGATCAGTCTTCTCGAGCAAAATAGATGATACACACTTTGAACTGCATCTTAAAGATGTAAAATACTAGTAAACTGCTAATTTCCTTTCTTTTTATGCTTGCCATGAAACACTGAATCTTTCACTTGCATTTATCAGACACTAAACACTGGAGTAATGGAAGCACAACTCCAAAACCAAAAAAGTCCTCTGGATACAGTGCCACAAGGCCAGACTGACAGGACTCAAGTCAACATATCCTTCTGGTAACAGAGGCACTGAAGGCTGTACAACAGAGTGGCTCTAGAGACAGGCTAGTTCCAGTAGGGCTCATAGGCTATGCTGCCTTTGCTCTTACGCTGGTCTTCTGGGCAGTATACTGAAAGAGCGTACTTCTGCTACTGCACTTCCAGACTTCATCTGCTCCCATGTCACTGTGTCTTCACTACGGTGAAGAACAGATTATACAATGAAACTACAACCTTGATATTTCTTAAGCAGGTCATGCATAAAACTGGTGAGTATTTATACAATGACTGAAATCTTCAAAATAGTACCCACATTGATAATTTTTTTCCACGGGAAAGTCAATACCAGATGAGAAAGCAATGGCATCTGAGTCAACACAACACCAGCAAAAAAGATTTTTATTACTCTCAACAGACTGCGTATCACAGCCTATGTTATGATTTAATATAGACAGCCTAACTCACAAAAACCTAATATCAAGTGTTACAAGTAATTTTAAAGCCCATATTACACCTTCAACTGACATGCTGAATGAGCTCACTTTTGCTTTAGATCTTTCATAGAATTAACATGATAACTTTCTGAATAGTGGGATATTCTACTTTCATGTTGTTTTGATCTGCTTTACAATTTATCTTTAAAATAATGTTAATGAAGTTAAGGAATTAAAATAGTGTATTTTATTTTTTTTTTACCTGTTGCAATAATAGACTGCATTTTTTGGATCCAGTTCTATAGCCCTAGTATAACAATCGACTGCAGCACCATAATTCTCTTCTTTCATATGATTATTACCTGAAATAAATTATAAAAAGCTTTTAAGAAGTTAAAAGATACCATGCAATGTATGAAAGAAATAGAGTAGTCACATTATAGCACCTATATAAGGAAGTTAGGACTCCAGTTTTTTGAAATACATTGTTTTAAGTAGAATTGGCATGGAATAATACAAACAAAAACAGCTACTATGTAAAGTTTATTATGCGCATTGTAGTCCACCACATGAACCTTTCCCTTCTTATTTTACTATTTTATACTTTCCAGTTAGTTTCTGCCCTTAAGCAAAGATCACTGTTGAGAAGGGTAATTGTAATTGCAGTTCCACTCTAATACAGATTCAGTCTTAACTATCTTTGCAAGCCTCGTAATCCAATAGGCTACATGTTAACTCCTTTCTGGTCTCATTTTCTCATGTCCCAACAACTTGCTTGTAACTATCCATCTAACTTGGACAATGAAAAAAAACCAAAACTAAACACTGTGGCACTAAACATTCTGATGCCACATAATTTACTCATGATAATGAAAAGTAGGCATAGCACATGAAATCTAAATGATTCAGAGGTAACATTTATCATTACCAAAGCTCAGAATTTCTACTCTATAGGGAAATTCATATTTCATATTTTTTAAGGCCAGTAGAAAAAAAAATATTACTTTTCTATGTAAAAAAAAATCTGGAGTAAGGTCTTTCAAAACAAAAGATATTTTACACATTCTTTCCTCCCCAGCACAGCACAGACCTGGTAGTTTCTTTCTTTCCTGATGACAGAGTAGTAAATAAAAAGTCCTAGTTCAGAGTGCCTAAGGTTAAGGTTGTCCCTGGTCCTGCAGCTATGGATCTTTGGCCTGCTAGGTCCTATAGAAGCCTTGGTTTCCCATAAATGTCAAGAATTTGTCAGGAAAATGATGGACTTGTGAAGACTTTCTTGTATTTTGGCAAAATATTGCAAATCTCTCCCAAAATAAGCAAGAGAAGAAACAGGTCCACAGGTTACTTACAGACATAGATAACTGCGTAATCAAAGGCTGGAAAAGTTCAGTCATTGCAAGAACTTGACTGATAAAAAGCAAGACTGTGCAGCAAGCAATCCAGTGCCTGTACTAATTGAAAACAACTACACTTGCATGTATTTGTGAATATGGAGAGCTTAATAAAATCAGATTTACGTCACTGACTATCATCAAGATAGTACAAAATCACCTCTTCCTAATAATGCTATTCTAGACTGTAATTATAGTGAGCAATCCCTGCCAGTGAGAAGGCAAACTAAAAATATAGTTACATTTATGCTGTCAAAACATACGAGTATACTTTGAATATACACAAACGATACCTAACCATATCTGCCTCAGTTCTAGAGGCCCAGCATCTGCAAATCTTTCCTTTGATCTAAGGTAAAAGTCTGTCTACTGTCAAATGAAAGACTTGCAAGTTAGCTTCACTCAATGAGACTGCAGCAGTTAACATTACTCTGAAACAAAACTGCCATCAATGACTATCAAAGTGGGTATTTCTGACACTGCTCTGAACTGAAGATAACCTGGGGTGCAGGGTAAGTTGGAGCTAGTATCAGCGGGTACCCTTCTTGCTCTCTCTCCAGCTTAAAATTAACTAAGAAAACAGATAAATCGCTAGACCTATTATTTCTGCTGAGATTAAGCAATTCAGGACAAAAGGGAAAGCAACTCTAACACTTTATTTCAATGCCAGACGAAAATTCTTAAGACAAAAATCCCCACAAATGGTTATGCTTTTCACTGTGTATCTTACGTAATAAAAATACTACCTATTGTTATAATTTATCCTGTGGTAATACCCAGATCTTTTAATGATCAAGCCACTGTTACATACCCAAACCTGTACATAATCCATCCTCTTACATAGCTTATATTAAGGCAAAGTGTCAAATGATATACAAGGGTAGACAAGTAAATTAAAGTATTTACTAGCCTAGAGGGTAGAGTACTTCTGAATTTTATAATAACGAAGGAAGAAAACTCGGGCATCTGATTCTGATTTGTCATTTATTAGCCAGTTTCTACTGAGAGCAGAGAATAATGTCTGGTGGACACAAAGGTGAGGAAAGCTATTCCATTTGTAAGGACATACAAACAGGAATAAATAACAGTACAGGATTAAAGTATTATAGAAGATGTGAGTCAAATAGATGATCTTAAGGTCCTTTCCAGCCCTAACTATTCTATAATTCTACGAAATGGACTTTCTCAAGTTATCTAATTTATCTCCCTAACTCAGGGCAGAGAACACTCGTAACTGAAAAGCATGATAGTGGTGATCGGTGACGCGTGTGAAAATCATTGAATCACAGAATAGTTGGGTTGGAAAGGACCTTAAGATCACCTACTTCCAACTCCCCTGCCATGGGCAGGGACACCTCACACTAAACCATGTCACCCAAGGCACTGTCAAACCTGGTCTTGATGGAGTCAGGGATGGAGCCATTCGCAACTTCCTTGGGCAACCCATTCCAGTGCCTCACCACCCTCAGTAAAGAACTTCTTCCTTATATCCAATCTAAACTTCCCCTGTTTTAAGTTTTAAGCCATTACCCCTTGTCCTATCATTACAGTCCCTAATGAAGAGTCCGTCCCCAGCATCCCTATAGGCCCCCTTCAGATACTGGAAGGCTGCTATGACGTCTCCATGCAGCCTTCTCTTCTCCAGGCTGAACAACCCCAATTTCCTCAGCCTGTCTTCATATGGGAGGTGCTCCAGTCCCCTGATCATCCTCGTGGCCCTCCTCTGGACTTGTTCCAACAGTTCCATGTCCTTTTTATGTTGAGGACACCAGAACTGCACACAATACTCCAAGTGAGGTCTCACAAGAGCAGAGTAGAGGGGCAGGATCACCTCCTTTGACCTGCTGGTCACGCTCCTTTTGATGCAGCCCAGGATACGGTTGGCTTTCTGGGCTGCGAGAGCACACTGAAGCCGGCTCATGTTCATTTTCTCATCGACCAACACCCCCAAGTCCTTCTCCGCAGGGCTGCTCTGAATCTCTTCTCTGCCCAACCTGTAGCTGTGCCTGGGATTGCTCCGACCCAGGTGTAGGACCTTGCACTTGGCATGGTTAAACTTCATGAGGTTGGCATCAGCCCACCTCACAAGCGTGTCAAGGTCCCTCTGGATGGTATTCCTTCCCTCCAGCATATCAACCGAACCACACAGCTTGGTGTCATCAGCAAAATCCCTGTCTTGTTACCGACAAAGATGTTGAACAAGACCGTTCCCAGCCCCAATCTTTGAAGGACACCACTCATTACTGGTCTCCAGCCGGACATTGAGCCATTGACCACAACTCTTTGTGTGCGGCCATCCAGTCAGTTCTTTATACACTGAGTGGTCCACCTGTCAAATTGATGTCTCTCCAATTCAGAGACAAGGATGTCGTGTGGGACAGTGTCAAACAGTTTGCACAAGTCCAGGTAGGTGACATCAACTGCTGTGTCCCTGTCCATCAGTTCCATAGCCCCATCATAGAAGGCCACCAAATTGGTCAGGCAGGATTTCCCCTTTAGTGAAGCCATGCTGGCTGTCACCAAGCACCTTATTGATTTTCATGTGCCTTAGCATGCCTTCCAGGAGAATATGCTCCATGATTTTGCCAGGCACAGAGGTGAGACTGACTGGTCTGTAATTCCCTGGGTCATCCATTTTCCTCTTCTTGAAAATGGGGGTTATATTTCCCTTTTTCCAGTCATTGGAAACTTCACCTGACTGCCACGATTTTTCAAATATGATGGACAGTGGCTTAGCAACTTCATTCACCAGCTCCTTCAGGACCCACGGATGGATGCCATCAGGTCCCATGGACTTGTGCATGTTCAGGTTCTTAAGATGGTCACGAACCAGATCATCTCCTACAGTGGGCTTAAGGTCTTCATTCTCATATTCCCTGCATCTGCTTTTCAAGACTTGGGTGGTGTGGTCACAGCATTTGCCCGTGAAGGCTGAGGCAAAAAAGTCATTAAGAACCTCAGCCTTTTCCAAATCCAGAGTAGCCACTTCTCCTGATAGCTTCTGGAGGGGGCCCACATTGTCCCTAGTCTTTTATTCGCAGTGTACCTATAGAATCCCTTCCTGTTATCTTTCACATCCCTAGCCAAGTTTAATTCTAACTGGGCCTTAGCTTTCCTAACCTCGTCCCTAGCTTCCCGGACAACATCCCTGTACCCTTCCCAGGCCACCTGCCCTTTCTTTCACCTTTTGTCCCTCTTAAGTTTTCTCAGCAGCTCCTTATCCATCCAAGGAGGTCTCCTGGCCCTCCTGCTGCACTTCCTTCTAGTTGGGATGCAACACTCCTGAGCTTGTAGCAGGTGATCCTTGAATATCAACCAACACCCTTGGGCTCCCCTGCCCTCTAGGGCTATATCCCATGGAACCTTACTAAGCAGGTTCCTGAAGACGCCAAATTCTGCTGTCTTGAAGTCCAGGGCAGTGAGCTTGCTGCACGCTCTTCTCACTGTCCTAAGGATCTCAAAATCAACCATCTCATGATCGCTGCAACCAAGGCTGCCCTGAAGCATCACATTTCCAGACAGCCCTTCCCTGCTGGTGAGCACAAGGTCAAGCATGGCACCTCTCCTTGTCAGCTCCTCTATTACTTGCAGAAGGAAGTTGTCTTCCACACAATCGAGGAATCTCCTGGATTGCTTGTGCCGGGTCGTACCATCCCTCCAACAGATACCAGGGTGGTTGAAGTCCCCCATGAGAACAAGGGCCTGCAAACATGAGGCTGTTCCTATCTGTCTATGGAGCACTTCATCCGCAGAGTCCTCCTGATCATCTGGTCTGTAACAGATCCCCACAATGTCTTCCATCGCTGTTCTCCCTTTAACCCTGACCCATAAACTCTGTTAACTGCTCACCTGTCCACAGATAAGAGTTCCATCTGGCCTATCCCTAACATAAATGGCAACTCCCCCTCCCTGCCTGCCAGGCCTGTCTTTTCTAAAGAGCCTGTAACCTTCCATTCCAACACTCCAGTCATAGGAGCCATCCCACCATGTTTCTCTGATACCTATTGTATCATATCCCCACAGACGTGCACATATCTCTAATTCTTCTTGTTTGCTCCCCATACTACGGGCGTTTATATAGTGGAATCTGATCCCAATTCCAAATGAAACCGGCTCATTGGCTGGAGCGGCTGGAATACCTCTACATTGCTCCAAGCATTTATTATAGGTGCTGGCAACTGACTGGGTGTGTTGGGATGAAATGATGCCCCCCTCCTGCAACACACCTAGTTTAAAGCTTTCTTGACCAGCCTGGCAAGCCTCCTACCAAAACAGCTCTTCCCCTTTGGTCAGAACCAGCTCCACCAGGCCCCAGTAGACCTGGCCTCCTCAGCTGAGTCCTATGTTCTAGATACCCAAACCCCTGACTATGGCACCACCATTCTAACCATTTATTAACATGATAAGATTTGTAGGATTAACATGACAGAGCAGCAGAGCAGGAAGTTTTAATTTTATTATGGGAAATTAACCAAAGGCATTTCACGCAGTTCCAAACTGCTTAGTAATGCCCCTGATAGCTGACACTTTAAGTGGCCCTTTGTCGAATACAGACCCTTTCAGTTTTTTCAGTAGAGACATGAAATTTCTTTAGTAACACCATACAAAAGAGTAATACATAGCATGCATTAATTTAATTTCCTCAGTCTTCCACAAACCCATGTGGGCTGACAGATAAGACAGAAGTCACAGATTTAAACCCAGTATTGCTATAATACCCACACCTGGAAAGTGCTGACTATCAAGTACAGTCCAATAACCATATTGAGTGTTACAGATACTCTTCAATTTCATGAGCTGGCAGTAACACACAGCAAAATGAAAAGCCAGCATGTACAGCAGGTATGTTACAACTTACTAATTAATCTTCACTTCTGACCTAACCTTGTTTAAGCACTTATCCTCAGAATTCAAGAGCTAATGAATAACTTCACCAATTAGGAAAACTTACTTTCAGAGCCAGTAATGAACTGCATTCATGACTACAGATGGCCAGTTTTCAGACAAGACAGACATGGAACTTCCTCTCAAAAACACCAGAACTTTTTCCACATCACTTTCCTGAATTTTTTGAGAGGATTAAATCTGTCTTGCAATTAGAAACTTAGTTATTTTTCCTAGAAAACTCAAATATCTGAAAAACCAACAGGTCAAAAAAATGTGATTTATAAAGCATCAGTCCACCTGATAACAATTCACATCTGTTATTAGTGCTACATGCCTTCTCCCCATCCTCCACTCCTTTTTTTGAGACAAATAAAATGGATTCCTTCTTGGGTAGCATCAGTGAAAACTTCTATGCTACAGCTGCTTTTCTTTACGTAACAGCAATAACATTTATCAAAAGGGAAAATAAACAACTGATTTTTGTGCAGTTTTTATAGAGCACACAAATTATTTCACATATGTGAAATACTAAACCTAGTAAGAATTTTTCCACTAGCTTCAGCTGGGTCAGCTTTCTACCTATGCTTTCAAATTCAGCTAGCACATAACCTTTGATATCACATAGCCTTTTCAACACAAAATAGAAACTTGTGTAGCAATTTCGTGGACAAACAGAGAAATCTATAACACACCAAAAAATAACTTCGCATTCTTTAGAGCGTCTACTATTCAGGAATATTGCTCAGGACTTTATATTCTGTCCCTTAGTTTTTTCGTAACCTCATGAGCAAGGGAGAGAATAGACTGTATTTTCTTAAACCCCAGGTGGAGCAATTCACTTAATCTTCTCACAACATAACAATCACCAGAGAATATAAGCTTAAGGCTCTGTACAGCCCAGCTGCTATACTATAACTAACCAGGATGACCCAAAAGTCTTACTAAAAGAATAAAATGTTTATTCCTATGTTTATTACAAACCTTCATCCTTCAGCTGATCAGCCTTTTCAACATCCTCTGGTAAAGAATCCGAGAGACACAGCATGTCATTCTGTATGCAAACAAACCAAGATTTCTTTAATTAAAATATCTGCCTTGATTTTATATTAAAAACTGCCTTCATCCTGGGCAGCACTGTATAAACAACCAACCAGATTTTCTGTAGTGAACAGGAAGCATGAAAGAATGAAATATCACCAAAACATCCTTACAAGAGAAAGACAGCTTGCTTTCTGCCCCTAAAATCCCTTTACGGCTCACCACACACTTTAAAGGACATCAAGGGAAAGAAAGCTGGTATGTCTCTACGGTGTTGGTTTTTTTACTTCTGACTCTCCTACTTGCTAACCTAGTGGCTCCTGTGCTTCCTGTGCTGGGGTTCCTAGATCACACATATTATTAGTAAACATTTTTGAAGTTCCCACTTTAAGGTTAGTGTTCATGGAGATGTTTTTAAAACTGAGCAACTAAACTATTTTCAGAAGGGAGCCCAAGTATCAGCAAACTGCAAATGACCTCAAGCACCTTGCAGACATTTATCTCTGGGAACTGCAAAATGCTTAACTGAAGGGTAAAATCCTTCAACTGAGCATGAGACATCCACTGAAATCAACTCCTCTCACTGCCCCAAAAGATTCTCATTCTGGTAAATTTTACGGAAATTTCATTTTTTCATGTATTCCTTAAGTTTACACATCATATTGACCTATACAGCACATCAAGGCTGTGTATACAATATGAAATCTTAGCACCTATTGGGAGAGTAACTCTAATGGAATTCTTACCTTATGAAAAGAATTTGTGAAAATTTCTATCAAATGCTGTGGAGGAGCAAGATGAGTATCTTCCAGGTTAATCTTAAACACAGTCTCCAGACACTGAATTGCAACTTACAAGAGAAAAAAAGAAAAAAAAAAAAATCAGTTTCTCAAGAGAAGTATAATTTCACTAATTCATTTATAAATCATAAAATGGTTTGGGTTGGGAGGAACCATAAAGATCATCTGTTTCCAGCCCCCCTGACTTGAGCATATTCCACTAGACCAGGTTGTCCCTGGCCCCATTTAACCTGCCCTTGGGGCAGCCACAACCTCTGTAGGCAACCTCTGCCAGGGCCTCACCACCCTCACAGTGAGAACTTTTTCCTAACATCTAATGTAAATCTACCCTCTTCAAACCCATTACCACTTGTCATATCACTACACGTCCTTATAAAAAGTCCTTCTCCGGGTTTCTTGATGTGATTCACTTCCTTATTCAGCTAGTAAAGGCAGCTCTTTGAAACTTCTCATAAAACAAAGAGAAGCTACTTGATCCCCCTAAAACTAGCTTGAAGAAAAATAGTATACGCAATCAAGAATCCATACATAGTTTGGCTGTTATTCTTGAACCAGAATCCTTTTATTTCATTTTTATTGAAATTTTAATTTATTTCAATTTCTTTTTAATTCAATTCTTCTATTTAAATTCTTTTAATCATTTAATGACTATTAAAAGAAAAACAAACATAAACCATGAGGAGTTAACGAAAGCACCACAATTCATAATATAATTATGCATGTGTCACATACTTCACCTCCAAACACCACAATTGCCATGTATTTGCATGGCATAATAGTTCGGAAAAAAAGGCTCATATTTACTTTAAAGAATAAATATAGAATATTTATTAGTCTTAGCTTTTTCAGAACAAAATATGTTTATTTGAAGACACTGTTTATTAACAAAATGCTTCATTAATCACAAACTATTATCCTATTTAAAAATATATCTGCAGTATCCTTGCACATATTCTGCTATTTAAGGATTAAATGGCCCTTCCAAACCTGCAATAAAGCAAATACACTTAAAATAATCAACTTTTAAAAAAGCAGAGCCAAATACCTAATTTTAAATGTGCTCACATACTTTTAGGTAAAAGATCAATGCCAATTACTATATAAAATTCTGTGTGCATGTGTGTATGTATTCTGTGATTACAGTATCTTGAATTATAATATTATTTTCCCTATCATCTTTAGAATCTAGTACAAAGCTTTTATTAAAGCATAACATCTAAATGTTTTAGATTGAAAAGTGAGGAGGGAAAAAGAAGACTCCTTGCAAACCCCAGCTTGAACAGAAAAATGAGTTTTTAAACTCAAACTACATATAAGCAGGAGTAGCTGAATTCAAATGAAGTATTAGTAAAGAGTGAATCTCAGAATTTAAACTGAATTTTAGTCCGATGTCAATATAGTAAATACAGTTTGAACTATATTTGTATTTTAATGAATCTGAACAGTAACCCAAAATTAGAAAAATAAAACTACTGAGAGTTAACTATAGTAAGGTCAGTTTAAGGAGCCTATTTTCTATGTCACAGCTGGAAGAAAGGGGAAAAACTTTAAAGGTAGACCTGTAAAATACAAAGTAAAACCTGGAAGATGTAATTAAAAAAAAAATCTGATAACCTACGACATAAATTATTCAGAAGTAGTAAAGTATGACACAAAATTAATGTTGATAACATGTAACAATTGAATACTTTGCTAAATATGCATACAACTTACTCCTACAAAAAAATGTTAAATGCTAAAAATTTATCAATTTTCTGGGTTCTAAATTACCCAGCAAGAGTGCTGAAGGGCTTGCATTAATCTCCTTTGTCTCCTGCTATGTAGAAAAACTGTCAAAAAGTATGTACTGGTTATACTGAATTTAGGATTATATACTAATAGTACTTACTACCAGGCCTACCATAAAATCAGTGGAATTACTTTTTTTTTTTTTTACATGGCTTAAGAAGAAGCCACTTGCCATAGTACATTTACCAATTTTCCCCTCAAACTTGTTTTTACTTGAAGGCATTCCCTTTCCTGAATGCCTCACCTCGCCTAAGTTTTGCATAAATTTAAAACAAAACCTTTATCTTTTTCAAGGCATTAAGTCTGTGACACCAACTCTCTATCATACAGGAGATTTCTGCAAAGTGCAGCAGTGCAAATCATGCTTAAACAACTTAATACTTAGTATTATAACTATTAAGCATTTCCATGAAATAATCAGTTGTTACAGTGAACTCCCACATTTCTCCTTTAACTGAAAAATGGAATTTATAATCCCTAAAGTCTATCTATCACAGGCATAACAAAATTAGAAGCTCTTAGAAGAGAAATCCATAGGTTAAAATAACCACTGGTTAACATGTAAGCCAACAATAGAAACCCGTGTAAAAATAAACACAGCCAAACCAGATACTGCTGCAAGCTCAGTATCATCAGTAGGTTGGAAAAGACGTGCTGCACCATGTGAGCTATTAATCTAAGATTTTTCCAGTGTCTGATGTCAAAGGCCTGCTTTCAGAGGCCTAGGCAGTTGCTGAAGGTTGTACTGATCACCTTGCAGGCCTGTACAGAGACCCAGCTCCCTGCTAAACAGCTGCGGCTCACACAAATACCCACTGCCTGACAGCAGAAGCACCTGGGCTGTGCCGGAGCCCAGCTTAGCACCACCAGTGCTACATGCCTCCAAGGATTTTTTGCTGTCAAAGCACAAGTTGCAAGCAACAGCAAGGCATCGCAGCGGACATGCAGGCTCTTTTTCACTAAACACTGGATATTAACTGGGCTGCTGAGGCCCCTTTAGTACTCAGTATCATCTTGCTTCATCTTACACACAATCTTTCCCATCTCAAGTATTACACCAATTCCTCTCCTTAAGGGGTGCATTAAACTATTCTGGAAACACATTCACTGCAATACATGGATCTTAGAAGTAATTTAAGAAAAATAAAATCACATCCATGTGCACATTGTAGAGAATTTCCATCTCACAGAAATAGTTGCTATAGACAAGTAAAAAAAAAAAAACCAAAAAAAAAAAAACCTGCAACAACAAAACAACCTGTAAACAGGAAAGAGAAATAACTGCCATTTAAACACACTGTATAAAATACAAGTTGGAAGAAGTGAAGCTTCTACTTCATACAACAGAGCCAAGCACTAACTAGTAGAGATCTGTATCACTGCTCTAGATCCTAGGTTGTAAGGGAGTATGTTTCTCTGGTCTAATTACTTTCTCAAGGCATTTGTATCTTCATGCAAGCATAAAATTCCTAGAGGAAATTTACACTGTCATTGACACTGATATGTAATTCACGCATGCAGAATGCAGGCTGTCAATACAAATGGAGCTTGAATACATGCTAGGCTGTTATTTTGGTAGTCTCAATTTAATTTGTGATGCTACCAGCTCTTTTTGTTGTTTTGTGGGGAATGGGAACTGTTTAAATTTCTTCCTGCACAGACACTTAAATCGTACAGTATTTCATCGTTTCTTGGATACCTAGTAGGTACATAGGTAACTATGAAAAACATCCTTTTTTTTTGACATCTTCACCTAACATTAAACACTGCAATGAATGGGACTTGGGCTACTGCTACTCCACAGGCACTAAAGATATTTTGCACAACTGAGTCAATTATTCAGAATCCCCGCCTCCTATCCTCTAACACATAGCATATCGTACCATGCTTTTGGCAGGGTACAGCTCTAAAATTAGGATATCTGTGTTGAAATGGTAAGTTTTATGTCAGCATTTGAGCACAACTGAGGTTTTACAGTATTTTTTTTCTCAGAAAACAAGATCTTAAAATTGATTTCTTCATACAGACTTTGGCTAAGGCTGCTCTAAGATGCTATCAGGTAAGTTTTCAGTCATAACCCAATGTTTACCAGTTTTATTATAAAAACAAAATGAATTCTCTGCATCTCTCATTATATGATTTCTAAAATCACTGCCTTCTTTCATCAGATGAACATAATCTGATATATGTTAAATTCATGGATGATTACCACTTTTCAAGTCTACAAATGCTCCAAATTCTGACGCAAAACTAAATCTTCTGGCTTTTACTCTTTTTAAGAGTAACCTTTGAATACTGTGATATAAATGTTTTACTTGCTTACACTAGTGAACAACTACTGTAAAACGAATAGACACTGGAAGGAAGCACCATCCAGGTTTATCTTTTTATGTTTATGCCTCTGAGAGGCAGGACTCGCTTTGCACCTCAGGGAAAACCTCCACACCTCATATTTTATGTAACTCAGTGATCAACTGCTTGTATGGTGTTTACTGAACTGCTGCTCCTAGACTTCCCCCTCTTATATCTAAATTCTTCCTCTGGTGGAGTGACACAACCAAAGACTTATTGAAATAGTGCTGAGGTCTTTTAAATAGATGCTATGAAAAGCTCATTGGAGAATGAAGACTTTCTGTTCTTCTCTTGCTTAATTCCATGTTGTAACACCACCTGCCATGAAATCTACAAGAATTATGGAAAAGGAATAAGAGCAGTATGAAGGATAAAGACAGATACTATGAAGTTACACTTAATGAATATCTGTCACTACAGGAATACACAATTAAGTCCCTCTTTCTGTAGCTATGTCTACTTGGATGTATAACAAAAGCTATGCTATACTGAAAACACTCACTACTGTGTTCTGAAGTGAAAAGGAAATGCAAAGCATTTATGTGATTTTCCATATTCTTAAGATCTACTAACCTTCCCTCATAAATTACACGGAAGTCTTCTAAGTATTATACACAAATCTTCCTATATACCATACCAAGCCAAATATATGGAAATTATTTTACTTCCTCTGTGGCCAGCACAGCTACTATCTGACATAAAATGCAGGAAAAACACAAACATTAAAGTAAAAAGAATCAGCAAGCAAAAATTTGTGGGACATATACAAAAACCATTACCATAGTTTCCATTACAGCACTGCTTAACCTGATGTGATTCAAAGTATCTGTTGCTCAAAATTAAGGCAGCATGCATTGTGTAACTTCAGAACATTTTTAAAATGAGAGATACATTAAAATAACAATCTCAGAAACATTAAGATCATGATTTTATTCACAGAGAATATTTGGTAGCAGTTTCAGTTAAGCCCCTCCAGTTACTTTACATAATAAGGCACATTGAGCAATTTAACACATGGATTGATATTTTTTATATATATATATACATATACACATATATATAATGTTAGCACCTTTGTCACTTACCTTCCAAGCTTTCTTGTTCATCTGGAGTGAAAGTATCCATCTGACTCTGCTCTCTCAGGAAATGGATGACTGCATAGACAAGGCGTTTGACTGATGACATTTTGAAATTGGCGAGTTCCTCCTATGTCTTAAAAAAACCAGGATCTCTTATTTCAGAAAAATGAATTTCTGGAGCATTCCAACATCCCACTGACCTCAGTAAGAAGTACACATAATACCCCAAAACTTATCCTCCACCAGAAAGCCCGATAAACTGACGCCTTGGAACAAGTAGTTAAACTGTACAGATCTGGGAGAACTACAATCGCCAAGCCTAACTATCAGCAAAAGAGCATAGATTTCCATAGATCCATTCCTGCACAAGAGTTCACTGAGGATAAAATAATTTAGCATCTTCATTTTTTATATTTTTTTTTCCATTTGGGTTTTATTTCTGAGACATACCTACTTGGAAGCTGGAGCACATGCCGAAATCAAAATCACATTCATAAATATGTTGAGATACAGAAACACACTTTAATAAAAGGTATTCTATTCTCTGACATGGTGCTGTTGAATGGTTTACACTCACTTTGGACAAAAACTGGAACACTGTAACCTCGGTGCACACTTGTGATCAGTGACAGGGCTGTCTCAGCCTCATTTACATTCAGCATCAGCTGGGATTTACGTAACTCTGAGGACAATTTTAGTTCCAACTTTCCAAGTTATTTTTCCTTAAACCACTTCGAATCACAAGCCCTATCTTTACCCTGTCGCCAGGGAAGCCGGTTAAAACAGAGTGCTAAATGAACAGCAAGACCAAAGCCAACCCTCGCTACATTATTTGCTCTCTACAGCCCCCGCTGTGCCAACAGACCCACGCCGCGCAGCCGCCGCCGGGCACCAGGGGAAGGCGGCTGCTCGCCGGAGGATGCTGTCGGGGTGCACAGCGGCGGCACCACTGTATTCGGGGTTCCCGCACGGCCCACCGGAGGTCGGCACAGGGTACCGCTGCGCGGCCATAACCCCCGTCTCCTCCTCACGCCCTCCGCCCACCTCCTCGTCCCACCGCAGGCCCAGGGCCGCTCGCTCAGGCCTGGGGGACTGGTCTACTCCCCTACACCCACCCCGGCACCGCGGGCACAGTGGCCCAGCACCTCTCGCCGCCTCGGGCCCGATCCGCCCCGCCGCCCCCGGGCTCCGGCGATGAGGAGCTCCGGGGGCAGGCGGAGCGCAGCTTCCCCAACCCCACTGAGCTGTGCCCACCACAGAGACAGGGCACTGCCCTTACCGAGCGAAACGCGAAAAGCGCAGTCCCCGTCACTGTCCGCACCGACGCCGGGTGGGAGAGGCAAGGGGCACGAGGGCTACAGGAAGGCAGCGGAGAGTAGACGCGCCTGCGGGCCCTCGGTAGCGGCGGGAAGGGCGTGAAGAGATGGCGGAAGCGGATACGCAGGTCGGCGGCGCAGGGCGGAGGCCTGTGCTCGCGGCTGGCCAGAGGGCGGGGCGGCTGAGGGAGGGAACGGGCTTTTCCTCCTCCTTCTTCTCCTCCTCTGCTGGCGCCCCCTCCTCATGCTGGCCCTGTGCGTGTGCGCGGCTCGCAGGTAGGCGCGGCGGGATGGGTAGCGCGGTGGGCCGCGGGCGTGGGGCGCCTCACAGGCAGCCGCGGCTGGCGGCCTCCGGTGTAGGGCCACCGAACTGCGACCCGCGAGAGAACCGAACGGCCTGCGGCTGATCAGGAGTCCGCGTTCTTCGGGGAGCCGTGCCTGGGCGTGGTGCCAGCTGTCCCCTCGGGCGGCTGGCCTGAGGCGGGAGGTGCCGGGCTGCTCTGAGGAGAGGAACGCCCGCTGGCCGGCGGGGCGGGCCGTTGGCTGCAGGTGTACGGGGCGGGCTCCGATGGGCCAGGCAGACAATGAGCGGGAAACTTCACACCCTGGTGGTGTTACTGCCTCGGATCTTGGCGTGTTTCTTCCAGACTGCCCTCCCCGAAACAGCCTCCGTTGTGTGCCTTCAGATGGGCAGGGCGGTTGGGGCCAAGTCTCCGACTTGTGCACCGAGGATCAGCCGTTCCGCAGGAGAAATGGGCAGGAAAACAATAGAGTGAGGACTAAGGCAATAGGAGCGAGCTCTACAGCAAGGTGTATGTGAAGGGAGACCCAGCAACGTCTGGGTTTAATGGCTTTGTAAAAAGGTGTGTCGCTACTTCACATTGTATGTGGGATGAGACGAGTACAAATATATTGTCAAAGACTCAAAGAATTAATTTCTTTCTCTGTAAAGAATGCTAGCTGTAAATGGACCCAGAAGGGGTGTGGGAGAAGGCTTGTATTGAGTTCTAGATGAACAAGACAAATGAGCAGCACTACTGAAATAAAGAGGGCAGAAGAATATAAGCAAAGGAGCATGTTTAACAGGGAACATGGAAATAGTAGAGGGTCACAGCGTAAATACATTGTGGTAATGAGGACTGAGCTGAATTTGAGTGTAAAATTACAAAGATGGTTATTTCTTGTGGGCTTTTGAGGAACGGCACTTACGTGGTTACTGCATGAAAGATACCATTTTTGTGCTATTTCATAGCCTTTGTTTAGGTTGAATTAGGAGTGAGGGTTACCAGCAGATAAAAAATAAGACCCAGAATTTTTTCTTTTCATAAGGCTCTTGCTGTCGTCAAGTAATTGACCAGGGTGTAGTCATTTTCACTGTTCTCCATATTTTGTGTTCAGGGTCTTGTTTGAACTACAGATTTTTTCTCAGAAAAGGAACAAAAGGCAAGAAAGGAAAATAAGGATGGAAGGTTTTTTTCTTTAGGAAAAAAAAACACACAAAAAATCTACTTTTGCAATTTGCATTTGAAAACTGAAGAGACCTCCTTCTTAAGCAATAATAAAGGATAGAGTATTGATTTGAGTTTTGGGGGGTTTTTTTCATCACTTGTAAGTACAGTGGGGAATGGTCACTGCACTTTATCAATTGTGATTTGTTTTTTTAAGTCATCATTCGAGAGTGCCCAGATAATTGTCTCACAAAAGACAGTAATCTTGAATACCTAATTATGACCTCTAATTTTCATAAGTTAAGCAATTGGTAACAGAAATGTTGAGTAGCAAAGATTCCTAGCTTCTGTTTTTCCCCACAACATCTTAACATGAGGTAAAAAAGACAGATCTTAGTACGTTTCAAGTATCACTTCTTGTGTTGAATGAAACTACATTAAGCATCCAATTCTTGGTGTTAAAATAGGCAGCTTTGCAAAAGGAGAATATTTACAATTAAATACTTTTCCTATTGGAATCCAGAAGAGTCAAAGATTAATATTTAGTTCAATGAAATGTATGGGAAAAGGCAGGCTAAAATGTAGATTAATTAAGGACAGTTGTCTGTTTACTATTTGATGATATTCTGAGTAATGGGAAAAAATACCTAAATAAAAGCGGTTACACTGATTTATATAATTTCATTGTCTTAAAATAATTCTCTAGGATTCTTGAATTATGGAGTCTTCCGTTGAAAGTCTTAAAATCGGGTTTTGAATAGGAAAATAGATGTATATGGACTCTGGAAAAAAAAACAATTTATATTGAAGATCTAATTTTAGATTTCTGTCACTGGAAAGAAACTCTTAACACTGGCTTTTCTCTTGTTGAGAAGCAAACCAGCAAGAAACTGGGGCTGGGGTAAAGAGACGGGAGGAAGAATGACATTGGAGGCCAAAGAAATGGGAAGAACTTTCATAGTAATTTTCTTATTTCATACTTATTTTCATAGTGTGTGCATATGCTTTCATTAAGCTATCAGGTTCAGCACCTCAGCAATGGGAAGAGCTAGCTGAGACACTTGGAACGTTTTTCCTTTTCCCTGTACTCTGCAAATGGCACAACTTCCTCTCTGTACTGCAGCGGTACAACTTGTCTATTAGACAGAGTTTACAAAATAAAATTATTTCCTGAACTGGCTGAGAGAAAGATACTGAGCTCAGAAGCATTTTGTGTACTGAATTTGACCCATGGAGCACCATTTTTACCACACTGTTAATGTATATTGAGAATGTCTCTGTTCTGTCATTCTCTCCATATAGGAAAAAATGCCTGGCTTGGAAACATTTCTTTACATAGAATCATAGAGTAGTTAGGGTTGGAAAGGACCTTAAGATCATCTAGTTCCAACCCCCTGCCATGGGCAGGGACACCTCACACTAAACCATGTCACCCAAGGCTCTGTCCAGCCTGACCCTGAACATTGCCAGGAATGGAGCATTTACCACTTCTTTGGGCAACCTGTTCCAGCGCTTCACCACCCTCACAATAAAGAACTTCTTCCTTATATCTAACCTGAACTTCCCCTGTTTGAGTTTGTACCTGTTACCCTTTGTCCTATCACTACGGTCACTAATGAAGAATCCCTCCCCAGCATCCTTATAGGCCCCCTTCAGATACTGGAAGGCTGCTGTGAGGTTTCCACGCAGCCTTCTCTTCTCCAGGCTGAACAGCTCCAGCTTTCTCAGCTTATCTTCATATGGGACGTGCTCCAGCCCCTGGTCATCCTCGTGGCCCTCCTCTGGACTTGCACTTAAATGGACTTGCTCTGGACTGCTTTTAAATGGTTTAGGTTATTTCAAAACTCTATCCTTTCTTCTACAGGAGCCAGGAGCCTTATAAAGCATGTAAGATAGGATGAACATCCAGCACTATCTTTTCCGAAAACTGGGAACTTACCAACACAAAGCCAGATGTCTTATAGGATCTTGTAGAAAAAATTTGTAATACCTTTTTTAATTGATAATGCTTTCTAGAACTGTGTTTGATCTCTTCCTAAATTATGTCAGAGGCAATGGGAGTAAAAAATGATACCTGTTCACTCTGTCCGTCCTCTTCATGGTTGTAGAAATCTCTAAAATACTTTGTTTTTATTATTTTTTTTATTCCTCTTTTGTCCAGTCTGAAAAATCCCTGTATAGTTACTTGTTCTTTGAATGGAGTCTATTGGAATGAATTGCTCAGTGCAGGTGATTGGTTGTTGCTAACTCATTGTGATTTTATAGCACAGAAAAGTCAGGTGGGAGAACAGAAGACGAGAGTTTATAACTGCTGAGAGGATCAGAACTGCGTATAGTATGTGTGTGCTACATGTTATTACAGGGTGGTGTAATGAATCTTTGTGTTTTGTCCTCATAGTAGCCTTCCAATATCTGAAGGCAGCCTACAAGAATGCCGTAGAGGGGACTCTTCATCAGGGACTAATAATAGGATAAGGGGTAATGGGTTCAAACTTAAACAGGGGAGATTTAGGTTAGATACAAGAAAGAAATTCTTCACTGTGAGGGTGGTGAGGCACTGGAGCAGGTTGCCCAGAAAAGTGGTAAATGCTTCATCCCTGGCAGTGTTCCAAGGCCTGGTTGGACAGGGCTTTGAGCAACCTGGTCTAGTGTGAGTCGTCCCTGCCTAAGGCAGGGAGCTTGAAACTAGATAATCTTAAAGTCCTTTCGAGCGCTAACCATTCTGTGATTCTGTGTTCTCTGTTCTACCTCTGCTAAATTCTGTAATTTCCATCTTTTCAGCTGCTCTTGACTCGTGTTTTCATTAAACTGTTATGTCTCCAGAATGATTCATCAGCTAATATATTATCACTATTTATATAAAGTCAGATGTGTGTGTCATTTCACATTTATTAAGACTGAATTTAACTTTGTTAGTGGTTTTGAACTTTACTCTTAGGACATTCTTTTGTATCTTTTTGTGGTTCCTTTAGTACACTGCATTATCATCAATAAATTATCATTAAATTTTGTCAGCTTCATTAATCCCACTTTTTATTAGATGAAGAATAAATATGTGGAAGAATACAGACCCAGCATGAAGCCCTGCAGGGCTCCGCTGGTTGCCTAGTTTCATTCAGAAAAATCAGCAGCCATTTCTTAACCTTTTTTAACAAAATTGCCATATGGATAAATAGTTAAATGAAACAAACTTTGCTTGTGCTGTCTCAGACTGTTTTTTCCCCCTTTCTTGTTTTTACCTTGGATTACTAAGTCCCCTGCTTACTTTGCTTGATTTTGTCATTTCTTTACTATAAAATAAACAATTACTTCTTGTCTAAAACTGCGAGACAAAAGTGAAACAATGGAGATATACTTAAATATTTAAAATTCAAGCAAGAATTAAGGATCTCTAAATAACACCGAGATTTTAGCTTATTAAATTTCTACCTTAAAATCTGTCCTGACAGCATAGATCAACAGCAATATCTCTTACATTATATTAGATGCTGCTTGATACTCATTGCAGTTTGTTTCTGAAATGCTTTTTAACTTCCTTGTGGAAAGAAAATTATATATATATACACATACATATATGTATTACATCTGAGGCTTGACTATTTGCTTAAAT